GGACCAGATGTGGGACCAGCTAAGGGACCAGATTTGGGACCAGATGTGGGACCAGCTAAGGGACCAGATTTGGGACCAGATGTGGGACCAGCTAAGGGACCAGATTTGGGACCAGATGTGGGACCAGCTAAGGGACCAGATTTGGGACCAGATGTGGGACCAGCTGTCTCTTTGAGGCTGTTTTGTGTATCTTCCTGGTTGTTTTGTGTCTCTTTGTAGCTTTTTTTCTGTCTCTTTGTGATCACTTTGTGTCTTGGTGGTCATTTCGTGTCTGTTTTATGTTGTTTTGTGTTTTTTATGTTGTTTTGTGTCTCTTTGTGCTCATTTTGTGTCTCTTCCTTGTTGTTTTGTGTCTCTTTTATGTTGTTTTGTGTCTCTTTGTGTCTGTTTGTGTCTCTTCCTGGTTGTTTTGTGTCTCTTTGTAGCTGTTTTGTGTCTCTTTTATGTTGTTTTTGTTTGTTTGTTGTTTGTTGTGTGTCTCTACAGCTGAGGGACCAGATGTTGGACCATCTAATGGACCAGATGTTGGACCAGATGTGGGACCAGATGTGGGACCAGATGTGGGACCAGATGTGGGACTCACCTGGACCAGAGTCGGGGTCATGCAGCTGCAGACCGTCCGCAGAGTCTTCAGACACTTCTCGTGACACATGAGGTTACAGACTGAGGAGATACAGAGCAGGACAGTCAGAACCAGACCAGAACCAGACCAGAACCAGCCTAGAACCAGACCAGAACCAGACCAGAACCAGACCAGAACCGGAACAGAACCAGCCTAGAACCAGACCAGAACCAGACCAGAAGCAGAACAGAACCGGAACAGAACCAGACCAGAACCAGACCAGAACCACCCTAGAACCAGACCAGAACCAGACCAGAACCAGACCAGAACCGTACCAGAACCAGCCTAGAACCAGACCAGAACCAGACCAGAACCAAACCAGAACCAGACTGAATCCACATCCTGGAGACCAGAGGATCTGGCTCACATCAGCAGCTTTCTAAATCCAAATCCTGACCCTGAACGAGAACCTGATCCAGATCCTGATCTGAATCCAGATGCTGATACAGATCCTGATCCAGATTCTGAACCAGAACCTGAACCAGATCCAGATCCAGATCTAAACCCTGAACCATAACCTGATCTGATTCAGATCCTGCTCTGAATCCAGATCCAAATCCAGATCCAAATCCAGATCCAAATCCAGATCCAAATCCAGATCCACACCCTGAACCAGAAACTGATATGATCCAGATCCTGCTCTGAATCCAGATCCAAATCTAGATCCTGACCTTGATCCAGATCAAGATCCAGACCTCACCCTGATCTAGATCCTGAACCTGACCCAGATCCTGATCCAGATCCTGACCCAGGTT